TTCTATCCCACTCTGCCCAAAATGGGTTTGGGGAGCCAATCCCAGCCAGCAATCAGGCGAGGGCAGGGTACACCCTGGACAGGCCGCCAGTCCATCTCTATAATAATAATAAACCATTATAAAATAACAGTGTACATCGTGGTACCTCTACCTTTAACTTATATACGTATCTATCTTCCACAGTATATATTATCCACAGCCCTGATAATCCTGATACACATCCACAGCCACTGAATGCTGTTTTAAATCAAAGAGCAGTGGGAGGAGGAGACCTTGCTCTTGAGTTATGTTTTAGCTTTAATATGGCTGAAGAGACTGGACTCAGAGAATGCTTCTCGGACAAATTGAGCTTCTTGTGAAATGATTGTTTTATTGTTGCACTGTGTACAACATTTGCTCTTATCATAAAGGGATATGCTCCACTGCATCAGGCAAACCCTGGGAGAGAATCTAGCCTCGTTTGACTCATTTGGTTTCACTGCTCACATTTGTAGCAAAGCAGGTTGGGAGACAAAACAGACGTGACTGAATACCGCAACTTCCTACCTAAACTTTCTCTCTGTTCATATGGAGACCCTGTACAATGGAGAGAAAAATCCAAATGGAAATCTTTAGGATTTCTAAATCCTCCTCTTCTTGCTAGCAGGAGTTTTAGAGTCAAGGTGTGAAGGGAGGACCAAAAGGCCTGTTTCCCACTATCCCTCTGCAGCTATAGCCCCCCAGCTGTTCAAGGGCTTCCATAACAACAGCTGTGCAGAGGTTTAGTGGTTCACGTTGCTATGACAACAGCAGGATCAACTGGCATGCACAGACCCTGGGTGCTAATAGTGAAAGTGACATTATGCCATAATTTCATTTCAATAAAACACAGGCAGGTTTTTTACTGCACTAAGATTCAGGAGGACAAAAGGAGGCAAATAATTAATTTTGCACAAGAATGCCAGTGGCTTGTGCGCCCAAAACTAGCAGGAATCTCCCACGCATACTGACAACTAACCCAGCAACCTCGCACTTTAAAATAATTCCCTGGCATTGAAAATTATCTCAGTAAAGAGGGTGGTTGTTTCCAGGCAGCACAATAGAGACTAAATAAGTCTTCATGCCTGGCAGCTGTATGTGCCACAGATCACTGACCGGCAGGATGTGCAACAATTAGAAAGATTTCTGTTCTCCTGATAAACAGGATATCGGGTCATTTGGCCACCTTGGCCAGTGAGGAATCACACTGTGGAGGTGGGGGGTGTTACACTATTGTACAGGGCCATAAAGAGTCAACCTCAGCTGCACATGGGACAACAAAATCTCAGGTGGCGTATGATGAGCTGAACCTTCAAATGTGGTGAAGGAAAGGCAAAAGTGAACTATGTACAATTAAAAACTTGCATTTTGGTGCACTCACATTAGTTCTCACACATTTAACAACTCAGTTCTTGCAGCTTTTATCCTGGTCAGTAAAACTTCAAACATTTGAAGCTAATTCCTGGGAATTAAAACGGGCTCACAATGACAATGGCAGGTATTCCCATAGGAGTAACCAGAGCTGGCCCGGTGTCACCACGGATTTAAGATGAACATTTAACGAGCATGCAGCTGATACAGGCAGCTGTGCCAGACAAAACACAGCCAAACACACACGTTTAGTCTACACACACCAACATGAGTACTTTGTGCAGCAGCTAGACACAGTTAGACATACCTAACTTATAGGATAAACCAAGCTTCTCTAAGTTTGTGTCTATACC